AACTATTAATAACCTAATAATTCTCTCATGCAAGTTCTTGCCAATTGTCTTACATATATTAGAAAGGTCTTTGGTATTAATGAGTGAATAATGCATTAAATGTTTGAAAATGTCTAATAACTTGAGAAAAGACGGATCATGCTGTCATGCATGTTTACTTCAAACTTTTTTTTTTTTTTTTGGTCAAGGGGGTGTCAATTTTAATAATTTTAAAATAAATTTATATTTCATATTATAAAAGATGATAAATAACATTTAAAAAGAAATTAGGTGGGACTTGAATAACAACACTAAAAAAAAAATAAATATCAAAGCTAATTGACCTTAACGCCTTTGATCCTTGAACTAAGAAGTTTCTCTAACCATGAGGCATGTGTTGCACAAGCCCATTAAGGCTTCAAGGGCTGGCCTCGCTGAAGCAGAAAGACCGTGTTCTACAATTAATTTACAACATGCATTCTACTTGAGCAAATATTAAATCCACAAATGATCCTCAGCGCTTGTGCTTATGGAGTTTCTCTTAGCATGTGTTGCTCATTTCATGTCTCTTTGGGTCTAAACTCAAAGAAGTAGTGGAAAGGGAGAACGACATTTTCCCACCCAAGGTTTGACGAAACGACACTTTCTTACACTTCGTTAGATTATGTTATGTTGTTTGTTAATATTTAACTAAAAAGACGAAAATACTCTTAAATATTTTACTTTATAAATTTTTTATTATTTTTTAATTAGCCAAAAAATCAAATATTAAAAAATCAAAAAAGGAAAAATAGTTAGTCGCAACTAAAAAGCTAGGGGTAATGTTATAGAATTGTTTAAAGTTAAATAACCTTAATGTTTATTTATAGGTTATTTATAATGTCATCAATATCCCATCACTATTATTCAATAATCTATTAAATTTATATATATTTTTACTATCGAGTAAAGACTTTGACTTAATTAAATTTTAATTTATAATAAATTAATTAAGAAATAAACTATTTAGCATATTTTCGTCTTTTTAGTTAAATATTAACTGAAAACACTAACAAAACCTAATAAGGGTGAGAAAGTGTTATTTTGAAACTTGGTGGGTGAGAAAGTGTTGTTTTACCAAACCTTGGGTGGAGAAATGTCGTTCTCCCTAGTGGAAAGGCCACATGCCCACATTCTTACTTGTATGGTCATAATCTAAGGTTTCCCTAGGGGAAATGTTTGTTAGGATTATTAACAACGTTTCTCTCTATTAAACTTGCCATAGAGAAGTACCTTTCCTCTTTCATTAATTACTTATTTCTTCAAGCTAACAATAGACCATCAAACAAAGAATCGTTGTGCGCCAATTCAAGCAGTAATCAGGAGGAGAAAGAACACTACTTGAGAGGTTTTTAATATAGTGTGGTGGCCCAAGGCACTTCAATCAAAAGTCCTAAGAAGAAAATAAAGCTAAAATAAAATCGTTATTTTTCAATGCCTTTGCGGTCAGCAATAGAGGTAATGGAGGATAAAAGTTATTTGCACATTCGGATCTCAAATAAGGGGAGACAAAATTGCATCTAAATTTTACATCTCCTGGTGCCTATAAAAAGGCAGAGATGATTAAGCTTACAAAACAGAGTCCCGACAAGCATATAATTGGCCATTGTGATTTCCACCATGTACCTCAGGTTTCATCTCCGAGCTTCCTTTATTTTTTTATGGCTTCTCTGTTCTTTAAACAACAATTATGCCCATAAACTTGAACAACGTCAATACCCTCGTAGTCACTTTGTTAAAGTCAGTTCTCTATTACCATCAACTGTTTGCAACCACAATTCCACTAAGGGGGCGTTTGGTTAGAGATATTTGAGATTACTAGGGTTAAGTCATCTTATATTACTTGATTATCATGTTTGGTTGTTAAGTAATATAAGATACCGATAATCTTCAAATACCAATAGTGGTTACTATTGGTAATATTTGAAGTAATATGATTATCTCCATTTTCTTAGGTATTCTAAGATTACCAGAGTTATCTTTTTTAGTTACAATTCTATACCTTATTAATAAAATTTTAGGACAATAATCCCCTTATTTTTAAATTTATTTACATAAATATGGCTTTTACTTTTCACCCCCAATTAATTAATTTTTTGGACAAAATTACCTTTGAATTCAAAACAAATTACAGCCCACCCAAGCCACCACCCCCAGCCACTTGCTGTCGGTAACCACCGCTGCGGCCAGTGGTCACCGGAAAGGCATACGGAAGGCCGAAAATGGGCACTGTGTGTCGATATGGCCATTTTTGGCTAGATATCTAACCAAAAATGGCTAGATTTGACCATTGACAGCCATATCGATGGCCGTTAATGGCCACGTCTATGGTTGTCAACGGCCATCAATTTGGCCGTTGACTGCCAGATCGATGGATTTGGCTGTTGACGACCAGATCGATGGGTTTGGCTGTTGACGGCCAAATCTGGTCATATCAGCTCACGATAGTCATTTTCAGCCTTTCGTGCGTCGTTAGGTTGCCGGCTGCCGGCGATGGTCGCCGACGACAGGCAGTGGCTGGGTTGGTTGGGGGTGTTTTGTTGATTTTTCAAACTTTTATTATGGGATTGTTTTGCTAAGTTTTTAAATGTGGGGGGTTATAGTAATCCAAATAATAATAATATTAAAAAATAATATAATAATAATATTTAATTAGAGAACAATTTAGTAATTTAAATAATATACTTATCAATTTATTTCTCCAAACCAAACATATTAATATAATATATCTACCAATTAACTAAACTCATTTTCCTAAAGATTTCTAGTAATCTTCAAGATAATCTATTTTTCTAGTAATCCAATATTCTCTGAACTAAATGTCCTCTAAAAGTAATAGATAATTATAAACTATTGTTTATCACTGAGCGCCTTGCTAAATATTATGAATTACTCTTGTCCATAAATCAAATATGGTTATTAATTATTGTTGTTTTTTATGATCACGAAGCGCCTGACTAAATATTATGTATTTCTTTTTTTTTTTTTTTTTTTTTTCAGTTCCAAACAAAGTATCTATAGAAGTAGTAAGCAAGTATGGCCCATGCTCGACACTGAATCAAGGCAAAGCAAAAACTCCCAGTTACTCAGAAACTCTGCGCAAAGACTGATCCCGAATAAATTCCATTCAGTCCAGAATCTCCAAGTCCAAGAATTTAAAGCAAGCACTGGGAATTTCAGTTCCTGCCACGTCTGAAGCAGACGGGACGTCGTACGAGTTCTATGCGATCGGCCCAGGCCCAAGATGTTTCTCTCCTTTTGGACACTGGAAGTGGCCTCACTTGGACTCAGTGCAAGCCTTGCACAAAACACTGCTTTAAACAAAGGGGTCAGTTTTACGATCCATCCAAGTCCAAAACCTATTCAAACGTTCCATGCCACTCTTCAACCTGCAAACAGCTCGCCACGACGGTAATTCATTATAGAGTAACACTAACCTTATAAAGAGGTATATAAAAAATAAATAATCTCTATTCTTAAAATTCATAATTGCTTATTTCTCTATATTTTTTCCTTCTTTTAAAGATAAGGATTGTCTCTTTGTATGACTCTTTTTATGCCTCTTTGTAAAGCTAGTGTTACTCTTAATTATAATGCAAGTTCAGGATTTCATCATTTCTACGAGTAAAGTAGCTCCACATTTTGAATCTAAATTAATTAATTAAAGTAAAACTATCAATAAATAATAACAAAAACACTGATTTTCGCTAGCCAAAGCATACCTTTGATAATATTAATCTAAAAAGGTTTAGATAATTCTTTTAGAAGCAATAAAGCTAATGATAACCACCACTAAGTGACCCAACATTGAATTATGACTCTTTGTTGTATTATTCAAAAAGTTGTAAGTTCGATTTACTTGGGTTATTAATAAGGGTAGCTACTAAGATGATTTATCAGACTGTTAACATTTGAATTCTAAGGGATTAATTGAGGTGCATGCAAATTAACATGAACACTCGATTACCAAAAAAATAAAAAAAGAGGCTAATGTTCTGAATTTTGCCTACAACAGTGGTTAATGAAAATAAATAGGGAGAATTACATTTTCCCACCCAAGGTTTGATGAAATGACACTTTTCCACCCGTCAAGTTTCAAAATGACACTTTCGCACCCTTCATTAGGTTCTGTTAGTGTTTTCAGTTAATATTTAACTGAAAAGACGAAAATACCCTTAAATAGTTTATTTCTTAATTAGTTTATTATAAATTAAAATTAGTTAATTCAAAGTTTTTATTCGATTATTTATTAGTCCAAGTATAAAGATACATTTTTTTCTTTATTTATTTAATTAATTAGGAATATTGATTTTTTATATTAATTAATAAAAATAAAAAACATTATAAATAATAGTGATGTAATATTGATGACATTATAAATAAATATTAAGATTATTTAACTTTAAACAATTTTATAGCATTACTCATAACTTTTCAGGTGAGGTTAAATATTTTGTCTTTTTTGAATTTTTAATATTTGACTTTTTGACTAATTAAAAAATAATAAAAAATTTATAAAGGAAAATATTTAAGGGTGTTTTCGTCTTTTCAGTAAAATATTAACGGAAAACATAACAGAACCTAACGAAGGGTAAAAAAGTGTCATTTTGAAACTTAATGGGTGCAAAAGTATCGTTCGCCAAACCTTGGGTGGGAACATGTCGTTCTCCCAAATAAATATATCTGAATGAGTTGGATTCTATCCTATGCATCTATAATTAACAAGAAATTGATCACTATAAATGCAGGCGAGGATGCAGGTTCCATTTCCAGTAAATGCGCTTACTGTATTGATTACGTGGAAAGTGCTTATACCAATGGGCTTTGGCCGACAGAAAAGTTGACCTTAACCAATGGGGCCAATACATTAGTCATCGACGGATATAATTTCGGATGTGGATTTAACAATTCTGCAGCCGCAGGTGACGATCAAGGACTTGAAGGTGGGACTTGACCGAAGTACACTCTTCTTTATATCACAAATGCCAGCTTCATTCAACAAGCACTTCTCCTATTGTCTATCTTTATTCAACAAGCACTTCTCCTATTGTCTATCTTCATCTGGAAGCTCGCCTGGATACATAACCTTTGGTAAAACTGCTGAGGATATTAAAGATTTTCCTCTTGTCCTTGGGAATGTTCAGCAACGTGGAATAGACGTGCATTACGATGTTGCTAATGGGAAGCCTGGGTTTGCTCCTGGTAGTTGCAGCTAATAACAAGGAAATATTTATCTTCCAATTTAGCTCTTGAAATTAACAGCCAGCTGAATTTTGTTTAATTTATGTTTGAAAATGTATTCCTGATTTAAATGTTACCTTCAGTAACAAATTTTTCCCGACATAGTCTCCTCTAATGACTAATTAAATTAATGCCCACATCATCATTTAGTTATTGTAAACTTGGAACCCTTATCATTATAGTTGAAATGGGAGAGAAAATGTTACCTTCAGTAACAAACTTTTTCGGATTGAGTTTAAAGTGAGAAGAAACAAAACTGTGTAGTTACAAAGTAAACTGTGTTATAACATTAATTATCAATTTAGAGAAATTAAAGGAAAATGTAAATGGATGAACGCCTAATTGACAGTCCGGCCTTTGGGCCTTGAACTTAGTAGTTTCTCTAACCATGAGACATGTAAATAGTAGGAATCAACGAAAAGTAAATTCTGTATGTTTATGTAAACTTTAGCCGGAGTAATGCTAAGTCCATAATTTTGTCTTACAATCCTGACGTAACAGCTCATTATTGGATAGCTCACAAATGGACAAAAAAAACCCATATAGGCAAGCGGAACCCATTTCATGAGCTGACCAATAACGAGTTATCACGTCGGAGGTTGTAAGATTGGATTGTAAACCTAACATTATTTTAGCCTAAATCATCTTCAGCGTTTATGCTTGTGGAGTTTCTGTTACTGGTGCTTATCATACCTCTTATTTGTCGTTCCAACTTCAAAGAAGTGGAAAGGCCACATTCTTACCGAATTGCTCATATTCTAAGATTTCAACTTTCAATTATGATTCACCTACCACGAAACGAAATGGTTTGATTATTCTGCAAAAGTGGGAATGCATGCCACGGATGCTACTCTCTCATTCCTTCAGATTATGAACACTTTGCGATTCTCCTTTCTTTTCCTTTTTATTGTTGGGACCAATTTTGGTTTCTCTAGCCAGTTGAAAATGGGACCAATTTTGTGTTGAATTAAGTGATACTTTGTCCCTTTGATCTTATAGGGGCTTTTGTTTAATTTTATTAATCACTGATATATAACTAGTGATCTATTAGTAAGTCTGAAACGTCAATTAAGCTTTTGGCAGTAGAGGCTCTTACCATGTGTTGGCTCATTTTCATGTCTCTTTGGGGTCTAAACTCAAAGAAGTAGTGGAAAGGTCACATTCTTACTTTTATGGTCATATTCAAAGGTTTCCAATTATAACTCATTATACCACTAAATATGTTGGCGTGAGTAGTGGTTTCATTATTCTGAAAGATTGGGGAATCCATTCTCACACGTCGTTTTTTATCATCACTTTTAATTCTCCACACTTTTCCATTCTCTTTGTTGGGACCCATTTCGGTCACTCTAGCTAGTTGATAATGTGTATGAACCAAACACAGTGGATAGTATCTGGCCCCTCCCACCATGAAATGAAACTTCTGATTGTGCTCAACTAATGTTTACTCAAATAATGCAAGGTGTGTTTAGGTTTTAGTGGGACTAGCGATGAAAATTTAAATGTACATATTTTGTTGGGGAATATTCAGCAAAGTGTAATAGACAATGTTGCTAATGGGAAATATAGATTCTCAAATTTTCTTAATTCACAAAAATGTGGATGAGGGAGAAATATAGATAAATTCAGAAAAGAATGGCCAATATGAAAGCCTAAAAACTTGGCAGGACATATCACTTGTTTCTCGTCTGATTCTACAGGGGTAGCATTCCACTTAATTGTTGATAATGACAATACTCTGTTTTTTATAGCTGGAATTTAGCTTGAGATATGATCAATGTTTTAACGGGGAATTGCTTCACCATATGTTGCAGATATCACTCTGGATGCTTCCTTGCAGAAGTTGAGGTGTCACTTCATAGCATATGTTGCAAATATCTCTCTCATGTGGTTCAAAACTTTTCAACCCAATAAAGATGAAGCTTTAAAGAACAAAAGGCAGAAATACTGGACTCTGTTAACTCGGGGCCCTCCACCAGAAACTAAAGTTGTTATGCTTGGGAAATCAAGGGCTGACGTAGGAAATCACGTGATGGGGTGTGACCTGCTCCTGTCAGAACGGTAAGCACACGTCAGGCCTGCAAGATGCCGTGGAGCTCCCACGTGTCCATTCCCTGCTCCAAATCGCGTAAAATCAGCTTGGAAGGTGGGCAATGTGACGTAAAGCCAGATTTAGCCCTAACATTCACACCAACCCACGGATTTAATGATGATTACCTGCACTCATCTCACTATAAAAAGGAAAGACCCCTTCATTGAGGGGATTGGGCCTTTTTACACTCTGAATTAGCTTTCTCTCTCCCTTGTATCTCTGTATTTACTTTTCCTAATCATTTGTAAGTCAGTCCGCTGTTGCGACCTGACCCACAATACTAATACAACAATCAGTGGACGTAGGACTTGCTACCTTAATATCCGAACCACTTTAAAAAGCTCTCATTATTGCATTTACACTACACGTTATCCATAATCACGTGTGTCTCTTGGCCAACCAACATTACGCACGTGTCGATTAGTTGGTGTTAAAATCACACATCAACAAAAGTAATTTTCGATTTTTCCAGTACTCTTTTATTTGATCAAGATTTGAACTAATTATAGATTGGTTCCACACTGATATGAATTATGAAGTGATTGAGAAATATTGGATCAATTAGTTTGAGTTATAATTTATCACTGAAAACAAAAGTGGAAATGCAACACAAGAGGCTCTCTCTTTATTGTTCAAAACAAAAGTGCAATCCAATCTAAGGATGGATTTGATTGGATAATAGTTTGGGTTATGGATTATCCAATTCATAAATTTTAATATGGATGTTTAATCTATTTTTTGTATTTTTAATCAATTTTTCATATTAATTTTTTATTTTAAGCCTAAGTAATTGCTCAAAATACAAATTTTCCTTGGTACTAATTTGTATATTAAATAAGTATTAAATAAATATTTAAAAATGTACTTTCAATTGAATAGTAATATTAAAATCAATACATTTTTCATTGTTTAAGATAAGATACTAAGGTAGAATAGAGTTTGAAAAGTTAAACAAACAATGTAAATCATTACTTTAAAATGGCTCTACTTATCTTGTTGTCTATGGAGCTAACGGAGAAAACAAACTGTCCGCACATTCGAAAATCAAGTACAAAGAGACTAGCTTGCACTTAATGCGATTAGATTTTACGGTCTCTTCCAGAGCTTCGGCCAGCTGCTTATATAAAGCAACCCAAGAAAACAGAGTTTGCACGTTCTAGCTAGTAAGCGACTAGAGGTTAAGCTTCTTCCCATGTCCACTTATATCTCCATGTTTCTCAGGTTTCTCCTCCAAGCTTTCTTTCCTTTTTTATGTCTTCTCTGTTCTGTAAAGAACAGTTATGCTAAACAAGCTGAAGCCCAATGCTCTGATTGTCACATTGTTGAAGTCAGTTCTCTATTGCCTCCAACTGTTTGCAACTTGACTTCCACCATAGGTTTTATACATTAATTAATACACAGTTTTGAATTTTCATAATTAATTAAAAAAGGCTATTATTTTGTTGTAATTATTATTGAGAGTCTGACAGAATATTATGTCTTGCTGTTTCAGTTCCAAACAAAGCATCTCTAGAGGTTGTCAGCAAATATGGTCCATGCTCTACCATAAATGAGGGCAAAGTAAAATCTCCAAATTACACGGAAATTCTGCACAAAGACCGAGCCCGAGCCAAATACATTCAATCCAGAATCTTCAAGCCCAAACATTTTGGTAGTGATGATGATGACCATTTAAAGCGAACAAAGGCCTTAACAGCCGGTGCCGTGCCTTTTCTATCAAATGGGGAGTTCTATATTACTGTATCCTTGGGAACGCCAAGACAAGTTGTTACTCTCCTTTTGGACACTGGTAGCGCCATCACTTGGACGCAGTGCAAGCCATGCCTTAAATGTTTTAAACAAAAAACCCCGTTATTTGATCCAACCAAATCCTCGACTTATTCTTCCGTTCCATGCCGGTCGAAAGCCTGTTTACCAGGTACAAATACCTATAAATAATTTATTTTATTTTATTTTAAATGTATCTCCGTCATGAATTTAAAGATAGATGATCGCGTGCACCGATTCCTTTTGGAACATAAACCGTATTCTTGTAACAAGAAATTTGTTGATTACTGTACATGCAGATTTCGAACCAACTTGCGGTTCCAATACATGCTTCTACGGTGCCTTATACGGTAGCGGTAGTTCCAATGGCCATGTAGCAACTGAAAAGTTAACCATAATGAATGGCTCTGGTAAATTTGTCAAATACCCTTACATTTTCGGATGTGGCACTAATAATTCCGCCGATATTGATGGAGTAACTGGGTTAATGGGTCTCGGTCGAACTCCATCATCCTTTATATCACAAACTTACCAAAAATACTTTTCTTACTGCTTTCCGTCATCTTATGGTTCCACTGGATACATAACCTTTGGCAAATCTGATGACGATATCAGAAACAAATTCATCAAATTCACTCCAATAACCACTTCTCCCAAACAGTCGTTGTTTTACGATATTATGGTAATTGGAATGACCATCGCTGGAAAAAGGCTACCTGTGGCCAGTTCAGTGTATACTAAATTAGAAACGATTACTGATTCTGGAACAACCATCACGGCTCTGCCACCATCCCTGTATGTGGCCCTGAGATCAGCTTTCCGCAAGCAAATGTCAAAATATAAGATGATAAAACCAGTGAGCGAACTTGATACTTGTTATGATTTTCGCAGTTATGATAAAGTTGTAATACCAAAGATTTCTTTCTTCTTCAAAGGTGGGGTTGAATTGGAGCTGGATGTGAAGGGAATTATGGTGGTATATAAAAAGGATTTAAGCCAAGTGTGTTTAGCTTTTCAGAAAGCAGACCCTGATAACCCTATTTTTATTTTGGGTAATAGTCAACTAAGGGGAAAAGAGGTGCACCATGATATTGTTGGACAGAGGGTTGGGTTTGGTCCCGGTGGTTGCAGCTAAGCTCAGCTAAAGAGGAATGAATCTTCCAACTTAGCACTTGAAAATTAAGAAGCTGAAATTCTCTTGCTTAAATTTTATGTTTTGAATAATGTATTCCTAGTTATATGCTTGTACTTTCAAGAAACATTGAATAAAGTTTGTTATGCGCGAAGTAGTATACATCTTGCATGTTAAGTCACCATTTTGTTATCATTAATTGTTAGAAGAAGCATATAAGTTTGCCTCTTGTCTTGTAAAAGCAGTGAAAAAGTGAGACAAATTTAGAGAGAAAAGTTTCAACCAACAAAGTGAATTCAAATTCTGCAACATCCAATTCTATTGTTGCTGTGTTTATCCTCTGTTTCTGCAGCAACTTTCCTTGTGCATTTTGTGTGTAAGAAAGCTGAAATTTAAGCTGACAAATTATATAAGCAGCACTTGGCACTTGGGAGGATCCGAAAGAAATGAAACTTCACGCCTTGTTTATATATGGGGTTTGCTTTAGTACTGTGTCTTCCACGTAGCAAAAGTGATCGGGCTTTGCTGTTAGGCAGAAAATGTCTATAGTCATTGTTTTGTTAATTCTGATTCTGGTTGGGAATAAAGTCTCTCTGGTATCTATAATAACAAACAACAGCTGAATGGCCATATTTGTTACATGGAAAGTCGGCTTAGCAACATTCTTCCTCCTCCAGAATTTCTTCCACCTCTACCACGGCTACCTCTGTAATTACCACCTCTATTGTTTCCATTATTCTGAAACCTATTATGAGAATTATTGGCTCCGTTTGGTTCACTTTTTTACACTTTTTAGAAAAGTTATGTGAAAAAAGTTAAAAAAAGTTGAATTGGACGGGTATTACGATGTAGGATTTAGAAATTAATAAAAATACCCCTTATATTTATTTATTTACTAAACACCCCTATAATAAAATATTAAAAGTTAACAAAAACACCCCCAACCCACCCAAAAAATATGGACAGCTGGCCACCACCGCCGGAGGGTGGCCGGAGTGGCTGTATCGGTGCATGACCGGCTGGATCTTGCCGGTCGTACGCCGATATGGCCATTTCCGGTCAGATACAGTCGTACACCGATATGGCCTTTTCCGGCCAGATCCACGGTGGATCTGGCCGGAAAAGGCCAGATCTACGGCTAGATTTGGCCATTGACGGCCAGATCTAGCCGTATTTGCTCGTCAACGACGACCAACATATGGTCGTTGTTGATGGTCAACGACGACCATATGTTAACAACGACCATATGTTGGCCGTCGTTGACGACTGGCTACGGCCAAAGATCTGAGTGTCAATGGCCAGATCTTTGGCCTTAGATCTGGCCTTTTCCTGTCAGATCCACGGTAGATCTGGCTAGAAAAGGCTTGATCGGCGCACTACCGGCTAGATTCAGTCGGTAGTGCGCCGTTATACCAGATTTCGGCCATCTTCCGGCAGTGGTGGCCGGAATCTGGTAAACGTGGGTTGTTGGGGTGTTTTTACAATTTCTAAGAAAAATATATCGGGGTATTTAATTAAATTAATAAATTTAAGGGGTTTAAAAAAAGTTGAATAATATTTTGAGTTTTTGTTATTTTACTGTTTAACTTTATTGGGAATACTATCAAAAGGGAACCAAACGGAGCTAGTATTGTTTTGATTTCCATTGTTCCCAGCATTACCACTATTTCTAGATTGTACATAGTTTGCAGCTAAATTCTGATTCAAATCAAAACTCATTGTGGTATTCAACCTTTCAGTTTTGCTATCATGTGCAAGCAAAAGTGAAAACATATCTTGCAAATCAAAATCATCCCTCTTTGATGTATCAACTGTGACAACCGAATCATATTCTACACCTACTCCATTTAATATGTGCATAATGAGATCATGATTGGAAACAAGATATCCAACAATATTTAGATCATCTGGTACACTTGTAGTTTTATGAACTCATCTATCATTTCTAAGTACTCTGTAGATGTAATCAAAGCTTCATTATTTTGATTGGGAAGCTTGCAATTTCTCAAGAGAACTCTAAACTTCATACGATTTCTCATATTTTGACATATTACTTACCATCCTAACAAAGTTTGATCCAATTTGTTCTATAAAAGGAAATCTAGATTTTCAACAATTCAATTGCGTAATAATTTCTTTTGGTTTAGGTCAAGAGCCATCGATAAAGCCAACCAAATCATTAGCTCTTATAGGTGGAAGAACTTGAGTTTTCCAAACCCTAAAATTCGATATTTCCAATTGATTGGAGTCACAAAACTTTATAGAGTTGTTATGAAGTTTTTGGTGATGTTGGCTGTTGAGAAGAACTTATTGGAGTTAGTTTGATGATTTATCATTTTGTCCATAGCTCTAGCAACAAGACTAAAAGTGAGAATTTAGCCGAGAAAGTGATAGAAAATGTTGTGTGTGATTTTTCTCTCAAGCTCAGAGAATTGCAAGGTTGTAGCTTGACCCAAGACCAGCCTGACTCTACCGATTGTCTGACCCAACATAAGCTCATCGAGTTATAGCTTGACCTAGCACAAGCTAGTTGTGATCAATCCTTATAGTTGTTTAACCAATTCACAAATAACTTCAAATCCCGGATATCTCAGAAATGATCAGATCGACATCAATCTTTGCACAATCACAACGCTCAATCGCGAGAATATCGGAGTTGCATTTCAAACTTAATTGTAATCCCTTTATTTTTGCTATTTCCTTTATACAAAATCTATATATAAACCCCCTCCAATGATGAGGAAGGGGTTAGCAAATTATTCTAGGATTATCATTGTAAGCTCTCATAGCAAATACAAAAAAAGTGGACGTAGGCTCAGGAGTTCAACTCGCTGAACCACTTTAAAAATCTCTTTGTCATTTACTTTACTGGATTTATTTTTCATTCATTGCTGGTTACCCTTAATCACACACACATTAGTTCCGATCCCGTCAAGATCGATTGGATCACTTTAGTTGGTGTTTTCTTGCATCAACAGAAAACAGAGAGAAAGTTCTTCTATGTAACTCTATAATTTTTTATTAATGAAAAACTTGTGGATACATTTCTTTATATACAATAAGAAGCTGTTGCATGACAGCCTATCAACATGACATGGATAACTGACTTTGACTCATATAGTGCCATGTCATCAAGCTCACTTAGAAAGCTAAGCTAAAACTTGCTTACTCTAACAATGTCAAACCCATCTCCATTGCCTCCAAGAACTTCTTCTTTGATCTCATCATTGACGATGACCACCATGGTCAGGCCTTGCAGCAGTCACGATAGCCATGGTTGCAACTTACTATTTTTTTCTTTTTTACATACTCTGTTGAAGAAGATGTGATGGAAAAAGACACACATGCCATGTCATCAAGCTTACTTAGTAGGCTAAGCTAAAACTTGCTTACTTTAACAATGTCGAACCCATCTCCATTGCCTCCAAGAACTTCTTCTTTGATCTCATCATTGACGATGACCACCATGGTCAGGCCTTGCAGTAGTCACGACAGCCATGGTTGCAACTTACTATTTTTTTCTTTTTTACATACTCTGTTGAAGAAGATGTGATGGAAAAAGACATACATGCCATTTGATCGTTATTCTTAACATTTGAAATGAAAAATCGGGTAAAACGTTGATGGTTTTTGAAACTAAGGGTATCAACTTGTATTTTTGCTAAACCTAGAGTGGAAAAATGTCATTCGACCAAAGATCAAGTGGGTTGTGCATGCATTAGCAGTACTCCTCTGGGGTTAATTACGAACATTAATGGTATTAAAAAAAGATATGATACTAAACATAGGGGACTTGTCCAACCCCTCTTCAGAAACTAAACATGATTTTGGATTTTCTGTGTCTTTGTCTTTCCATGAGCATATCTTCTGATATAAATTTGCAATGGCCAGCAATTCGATCAAGTTCTCCACACCATCAATATTGTGTACTCATTTCAAAGTATGATGATAAAACATGTATGAAACGAATCGTAATGCATTAGACTTTCATCGGTCCTAGTCCCCTCAGCTTGTACCTTGACATCATTCACTATTTTCTTACCAACTTTTTTGTGTAGTGCTAGCTAGAGGATTTTTTTATGAACACAATCTTAACCATTCAAGCTTAACTAATGCAAGTACATTACATTAATATGAGCCTTGATCACCGGCTGCATTCACCTAAAACTATCACATAAACATTTTAAAAAACAACAGTTTCACCAACTGCTTTCAGGACAACAGTTTTTCAAACTTGGCGCCAAAAAGTTACATATTCACCCAACTAACTTTTCTTCATTTTCCAGCAAAATATCACTAACTTTAACACTTCTTCTAAATGGTTCAAACTTAAAGGACAATTCACATTCATTCTCTTTCTTTTGGTGGAGCTCGTGGACCAATCTCGGATACTCATATCTATATGGAAATGTGTATGAAACAAAATGCAGTGGATTGAAACTTTAAGTCCACTAATAGATAAATTATCTTGATCGGGTTGCTCTCATCCTTTTTAGTAGAATTCTATTAATAAGGTAAGAAAATCCAAGAGAAAAGAAAATTTCATTATCCTTCAATTGTTATAAGAAGACAATATAAAGAGGTAAGGATTGAGTATGAAAGACAAGTGTGAACTACTGAATGAAAAAGAGAGGGCTTGAGAAAGAAAGAGAATTTTTATCATAATACCATGTGTGTGACTGTGAGTGGAATTGAAGAAAGTGTAGAAAGGTGACTGAGTTCAATCGAGTCTGCAGTACGTGGCCGACTATTTCATCAATTTCTCACGTATACCAGCACTACTGTTCACGCCTGGGGACAATAGCGACTCTAGCCCAAATAGATTCACGCCTAGTGCTTATAGTTACATGGGGTTTGCTTCAAAATGTGTTGCACCTCACTCTCTTGATGCTTGAAGGTCCTAACCTTTGAGGAGTTTGAACGCCATATTCTAAGGTTTCAATCATGCAGATATTTTGATGAACAAATTACAATTGGAAACGCAACACACTCATAAATTCGGAATTTTATATTTCTTCCTTGCTGGGACCGGACCAATTTAATTCAATTACTGATCTAGTATGAAAATGTGTATCAAATGCAGTTAACGCCTTGCTTGCTCTATTAATTAACCTCAGGACGCGGAGTTTTACAGGATTGTAGTAAC